TGAGGGTGATGCCTCCTAAGGCTTGTAGATCTCCGTCCTCATTCTTTCCACTTCCGTGAGGATCTTCCTGTTGTCTTCCTAGAGTTGGACGACTTTTCACTCTATTATCTTTATTATAACAAAGATCTCGTTGTTGGAAATCAATACAGTAGGATCCTGGAGTCCTGGGGTAACCGAAGAGGTTTTTTTCTTTGGTTTTTTAGAGACTTTCTTGGGAGCTCCTGCTAGTGGTGGTAGAAGGTTTTTAATGGAAATGGGAGGAATCAATGAGGAGGACAAAATCGACTGAGTAGACATGGGTTTTTGAGGGATTTTGAACACCACGTCCCCACGGTGGGCGACAAATTGTTTTTGTTAAAATTAACGAAATCAACCAAAGTGTATGAGAGGATGTGGTGTTGTTAGTGAAGTGATTAATGAAATTAGAACAATATTACACAAGTTATTTCCAAGGAAAACCCTTTATCCTTGCTAGGATCTCCTAAATAAAACCTTGGGAGGTGGTAATGATCACCTGCCCTTATAATTTTATTAATTGAAATGAATGATTACAGAGAAAATGTAATGAGTACAAGTACAAGAGCTAGTATATTGCCATAAATCATGTGTTGTGTGATGAATACATGTGATATATATAGTCTAAAGTAAATAACAAGAGTTCCGAAAATTTCGGGATCCACCGAGATCAATTTATAGTCGCTGCTTGACTTGGTCCTCCCGGTCTTTTGCATGGTTGTGACGACTATTCATTGAGAATATGAATTTGAATGGTTATTTATGCACATGTGAGAAAGACAATGGAATATATAATTGTTATAATTATATTAAAAAAATATCAGTCAAGATACTGGAGTATATTTGGGATCCTGAGGTTCGAGGATCCCGAGCTTTTGAAGATCCCTAGACTTGAGGATCTCAAAGTAGGTCTGAGATCCTAGCCCTAACAAGAACGTTATAGCTATGGAACTCTTAAGTGTCAGGGTCCTTAAATGTAAAGATCCTTTTATGTTAGGATCCTTGGATCTTCATGTGTCAGGATCCTCATTTGTCAGGATCCTTGTGTATCAGGATCCTTGTGTGTCAGGATCCTTGAGTCCCTTTGCCCATCAAACAATAGCTAGGGGTGTGCGTTAGTCTAGATAACTCCCCTCTGATGCTTAAGTCAACAATGTATTCAAGAATACCAAATAATAATAGTTAAGGTAAAGAAACGTGCACCTTGATTTTGGTGAAGAGTGACTTATCTTACTTACATATGATATGCTTTAAGATGTACATCATTCTAGGATCTTGGCATGATACTCCCATCGAGAGTAGCTAACCAATATGCCCCTTTCCTGGTCCAATATATATATATGAGCTATGGTCCTTCCCACTTAGGTGCCAATTTACCCGTACTAGGATCCTTGGTGTTTTGGAATGTTTTCATTACTATCGAGTCTCATATCTAGAATCTTTTGACTTTTATATTCTTGTTGTATGCCTTGGTGATTCTCTGTTGATGAGAAGCGATGCAGATCTTGGCAAGATCCCTAAGTTCATCAATAGTATGAAGATCTTGGGCCAGGATCCTGTTGTTGTTTTCTTGACTTTTGCTTATGAACTGGGATTCGCTGTTGCATATGATTAAGGAAGGGATCCCAAACCTGGTCAAGATATTGTGTTCAGTAAATGAGACTACTTATTTGTCTCTTACTTGAACAAAAGCTTCGACTTCTATCCACTTCGAGAAGTAGTCGGTAATTACTAGCATGAAGACTTTTCCTATAGGAGTAACCGACAATTTGCCTACTATACCCATCCCCCACTTCATGAATGGACAAGGGGAGATGATAGGATGTAGAGGTTTTGCTGGTTGATGTAGGATGTTGTTATGTCGTTGACAAGAGTCACATTTTTTAGCATGTAGGAAGGAATCTTTCTTCATGGTTGGCCAGTAGTATCTTATTCTCAACGCATTGGAGCATAAGGATATGCCCCTAGTGTGGTTGACGCAGTCTCTTTCATGTATATCATTTAGAACTTTTTCATCTTCATGATCTTCTAAGCATCTAAGGTATGGGCCTGCCATGAGTTTTTTTATATAAATTACCTTGTATTATTACAAACCTTGAGACCCTTGTTCTAGATGCTCTGTCGCTCTTTTCCTCTTTTGGGACCATGCCATTTTGTAGGTATTCCATAATAGGTTGGATCCATGATTCTTGATTTCGTTGAGGGTCTTAATCGTCTTGATCTCTTTGAGGAGGGATCTATGGGTCTGGATCTCCGATAGTTGCTATATTCATTGTTCGGTCAGGTTTGTTTGGTTTCTCGGAGGGATCTTCTATTGTTTAGTATGTGGGTTATGGGGATCCTTATTTCTTGTGGGATCCTTATAGTGCTAATCTTTCACTTTTTACTACATAGGATCCATTAAAGTGATTAGTCGATAATAGTGAATCAACGAATACCTGAAGATACTTGATTTAGAGATCCTTAGCCAATTGCAATCCCATGATGAGTGCTTCGTATTCCGCCTCATTTTTGGTTGCATTGAATTCACAGCTTATTGCCTGGGGTAGAATGTCCCCCTACAGTGATTTTAGTATGATCCCTAGCCTAATTCCTCTTTGGTTTGATGCTCCATCCATGAATAGTGTCTCTTTTCCCATGTTTTCTTCTTCTAGGAGCTTCTTATCTTCTATTTATACTTCAGTTTGTAGATCATCGCTGAAGCCAACCACAAAGTCCGCTAATGCTTGAGATTTTATAGTGGATCTTGGCTCATACTTTATGTAGAATGTGTTCAGCTTCACGGACCACTTTGCTATTCTTCGTGACATCTCTGGTTTCGTCATCACATTCTTAATGGGATAGTTAGTCTTCACATGTATGGTATATGTTTCAAAGTAATGTCTTAATTTAGTGGAAGCAGTTACCAATGCAAGTATTAACTTTTTGAGATGGGAATACCTGGTCTCAGGGTCTACGAGACTTTTAATTACATAATAGAGGAGATGTTGGTCTCCGTTGAGATCCTTAGCTAGGACAACACTCATCGCGTTTGAGGATACTAAGAGATAGAGGATGAGTGGTTCCCCATCTAGAGGTTTTACAAATAGTGGTGTTGAACTTAAATATCTTTTAAGTTCTTGGAAGGCTACTACGTGTTCTAGGGTCTATTCGAATATTTTATTCTTCTTAAAGATATCGTAGAAAGGTTTGCATCTTTCCGAGGATCTTGAGATGAATCTGTTGAGGGTTGCTAATCTTCCAGCCTTGCTCTAAAAATTGGCTCAACGGTCCCATAACCAAAACCAAGGACCTAATCTTAATTAATAGCTCAAAATACCCCTAGGTCAAACTTGGTAAAAAATCCTGGTTAAAGGGCAAGGTCAACGAGTTAACTCGGTCAACTCTGCTGAGTATGCGGGGGTACTCAGCTTGTACGTTGGGTGGACACGGGCGTTGACCGGGATTAGGCAGTACGCAGAGTACACAGAGTTACGCATTGAGGCTTCTTTTCCATGTTGAGAGCTTAATGTGTTAAGCTCTTACGTTCCAATTGTAGATCCAAGGCCAAAATACCACTAAGGGTCATAAAGTTTCCAACTTTATGACTTTGCATGCCCGTTAACTGCTTAATACAAACAATCATAACTTTTTAACACCTAAAGACCTTCTAGAGCATGCATAGGGATGAACTAAGTATCAATATATCACTTTTATGACTCAAGACCCCTCATTCGGTCTGAAAGGACAACTTATTTGGTTAACAGCATGTCATGCTCAAGAATCACAAAGGTTGGGAACAAAATGACCTAAATGAAGGAATATCTATATCTATAAGAAAAGATGATCAAGTTAGGAGCTTTTTATATCCTGAAGGTTGCTAGCAAGGTGAGAATCCCATATTCAAACTTCCTTCAAGCTCCAATGTCCTTCTACCACCTTCTTCTTCTTGAAGAACACCACCAAAACACAAAAATAAGCTCAAGGTGCACTCTTCAGACTTAGGCTAGCTAGAGGGACGATTTTTAGGTGGAGGCAGACGATGGTAAAGGTCTTGGGGCCATAAAGGGGATTATACATGGTGCAAACCCTCCAAACTAGAGTTTTGGTCTAAAAAGCATACATATGGCATACCTGCTGAATATTTTTATCAAAATTGTAATATACTCTAATATATTAATACATTATATATTTTTTGAAAAAAGGTCAATAAAAAGATAAAAAAAAACAAAAAATAAATAAAAAAAAACAAAAACAAATTAAAAAACAAATAAGAAAAAAAATAAATAAAAAGATGAAAAAAATATAATATAATATGAAAAGAAATATGATAAAACCTAAAAAAAAAACTCTAATATACTTTGTATATACACTAAAAAAATAGAAAACAAATGGTAAAAAGATTTTAAAAAAATCAGATTGTTGGAAAAAAAAAATTAAAAAACGAAAATAAATAAGTATATAAAAAAAGAAAATAAAAAATGTATATATATTTATAAAAACAATAAATAAATAAAGTATACAAAAAACGAAAAATAGATAAAAAAAAAAAAAAAAAAAAAAAAAACATTTGGTGTAATTTTTTACAAACTCTAGGGACAAAATTTGAACTTTTTAGGACTGATTTATATAAAAAGTTAACCAAGTTAAAATTTTAAGACTTTTATAATAGGGTAAATTACACGGATGGTCCCTGTGGTTTGGGATAACCTGCGCGCCTAGTCCCTGAGCAAGATTTTTAACTCAGATGATCCCTAATGGTAAAATTTGTAACCCGCCTGGTCCCTCACTTAACATTCCGTCTAGTTGCTCCGTTAAAACACCCCACGTGCAAGACACATAGGGGCATTTTTGTCTTTTTAATATTCTAGTGTTACCGCCATGTTGTATACGAAGAGGCGATCATTTTTCTCAGTACTCCATCTTTTCGTTCATAAAACCCAGACAAAAATTTCACATTCGAGATAAGAAAACCCTAGTTGTGATATCTTCGCCTCTAAAACGCAATGGTGTTGTGGCGTATACGTGCAAATATGGAGGAAATCGATGTTGGACGTCATTACTGTAAGTATTATTTTACTCTCAATCTTCTATAACTTCGATTTTGTTGAAACCATATTTGAAGTGGTTTATTTCACTGGGGGGCATCCGACAATCTTTTCCATTAGGTTGTACCATGGTGGAGAGTTCACCAAATTTCCTGGAAGAAAGTACATCAAAGGAAAACAAACGTATGTGGACTTACTCGACATGGATACTTTCTCAGTGCATGACACTGATGAAATGATGGAACAGTTAGGCTATGTTGATGAAGGTATACCTTTGTACTATCACTTTATACGACCTTTTTCAGATTTAGATTCCAGGTTATTTGCTTTGGGTAGTGATTAGGATGTGAGACATCTAACTACCTTCATTTCCATGCATAAGTTGATTAAAGTCTATATTGAGCATGGAAAAACACAATTACATACATACACAATGTCCCCAAATCAATCAAAAATTCAAATAAAGGAAATTATTGAACCTCCATCATGTTCTCGTAGGCTTTTCTTAGATTGGTATACTGGGGAAAAAATGTTGTTGGGGATGTTTCTAAAGAGGCTAATGTAATGGACCGCACTGGAAATGACAATATGGACTTAACTGTTATTGATAATGGGGATAATAACAAGGAAGAAAATCCATGCGCTGAAGTTGAAATTGGGGACAAATTTAAGCACACAAATGAAGTTGAATTTAGGGATGGTAACAAGGATGGAGAGGATCCATGTGCTGAATTTGAAAGTGAAGACATGTTTGAGGACATAAACAAAGAAGAATTTGGAAGTCGGGAGAACTTTGACGATGATAGTGGTTATGAATCCAGTGAGTCCGATGATATAGACTTTTATGTTGACAATGACAACATCTTAGATGATGTAGAAGTTGACATGAATGATTTCAATGATAACATTGATATAGATGCAGAGTGGGTTGGAAGTATGAATGACAATGTGGTACAAGAAGAGAATGAAGTTGGAGAGCTTAATGAAGTACTAAATAACGAGGTACTTTTGTTAGGCTCATCCTCAGATGAAGGTCCAGCTGGTCAACGAAAGAAGACCATCAAAGCTATCTAACGAGCTCACAAGAATGATGAATCAAATGTTGTTGAACCATTTTATATTCTTCAAACCTTTAATACAACCCAAGAGTTTAAAGAAATACTTAAACTCTATGTTATGAAGACAACAAGGGAACTTGGTTTTGAAAAAAAAATGACAATAATAGGGTAAGAGTTGTGTGTAAGGGGACAATACCAAAGCTGGGAAGCTTAGACAATAGTGGGGAAGGTCAACAAGAAGTCAACAATGAAGATGAAGAGAAGTGCCTGTGGAGCCTCTATGCTAGTAAATGGAAATGTGATATAAACTGGATGGTCAAATATTACAACAAAGAACATCGTTGTCTCCAAACTCATAATGTTAAAGCTTGTACTTATAAATTTCTCGCCAAAAATATTGCAACTCAAGTGGAATCTAACCCAACTATTCCAATTCGTGCTTTACAAGAACAACTGCAATGTGATTACCAAGTGGGACTTTCCAAGATGAAAGTGTTTAGGGATAGAACTGAAGCTCTCAATCGGGTGCAAGGGGATTATGTTGTTCAGTATGCTCTATTGAGAGATTATGTTCTAGAACTTCAAAAACATAACCCAGACACGACTGTGAAGATTGATGTAGAGAGTGAACCAAATCCTACTAAAGAAACTAGAACTTTCATGTGCATATACATCTGTCTTGGTCCTTTAAAAAGGGATTTGCTACTGGAAGAAGAGACTTTCTTGGTCCGATGGTGCTTTTATGAAGGGTCCATACCCAGGACAAGTACTTTCCGTTGTGGTAACCTTTTTTCATATGAACTACATTTATATTATAAAAAGTTGTATTTTAGGTTATTGATGGTGCTTTAATTGTGAATTTTTTACTTATGTAAGGAATTGATGGTAATAATGGAACATATCCACTAGCTTATATTGTTGTGGAATCTGAGAGTACCAACTCATGGACTTGGTTTCTAACTTGTCTAGGGGATGATTTGGGTTTAGGAACCAACTCAAATTTTACATTTATGACAGACAGACAAAAGGTATTAATTCGAATATCAAATTAATACATTATATATGGTATACTTTTAATACATTTTTCCATGTATATGGAGTGTTACCTGCTATAACAAAGTTGTTTCCATGCGCTCAGCATTGTTATTGTCTTCGTCATATCCATCAAAACATGAAAGCTAATTGGAGGGCAAAGCAATTCAAAGACTTGCTATGGGATTGTGTGAAAGCATCTATTAACAGTTTCAACGATCAATGGAGGAACTTAGAAAACTTAATAATGATGCGTATAAGTGGCTTAAAAACATTCATCCTCAGCATTGGTCTCGTTCACACTTTACAGGTAGATTTTAATGTTAGATCATTAGTTTGTAACAATGACTGATGCATTATTAATGATTTATCAGGTAGAGCTCATACAGATGTTATGCTTAACAATATGTGTGAATCTCTAAATAGCAAGATTGTTGAAGGTCGTGATGTACCAATCATTACATGTTTGGACTACATTAGAGAGTACTTAATGAAGAAAATTGTAACTATGCAAAAGGAAATTGATAAAGTTGTAGGTCCCTTGACTCCTACAGCTACCATATGGGTTGGAAAACTGAAGAAAGGGGATACACAATTAAGGTATGTTTTTTGTGGGAATGGGAAATATAAAGTCAGTAAAAATCTTCTGGAACAGTTTGTGGTAGATATGAGCTAACAAACATGTTCATGTAGAAGGTGGGAACTAATAGGGATACCATGTGCACATGCAACAGCAAATATTTGAGAGATGTTGAAGAACAAAGAAATTGATAAGATACCCGAGCATTGGGTCCCTCGAGTGTATTGGTTAGAGACATGGAAGAATATGTATTCTTTTACAATTCGGCCAATCAATGGAAGGAACATGTGGGAGAAGTCTACATGCCTTACAACCTTACTCCCTCCAAAACACCATGTGCCCATTGGAAGACCAAAGAAAAAAAAAAAAGGAGATCTGCCATGGAGGTTGAGGATTTAGTGAAAGGTAATCAATTGTCAAGAGCACAAAATTTAGTGACATGTTCTAATTGTAATAAAAGTGGGCATAATGCAAGGACTTGAAAGGGACAGAAGGCTGGTGGTTCTCAGACTTCAAGGAATATTAGTGGATCACAAACTTCAAAGAATGTTGGTGCTGCTGGTTGTGCAAAAGTGAAGGCTGGAAGTGAAAAAGTGAAGGCTGGTGGATCACAAACTTCAAGGAATGTTGGTGGTGCTGGAAGTGCAAAAGTGAAGGATAGAAGTGCAAAAGTGAAAGCTGGTGTTAGCAAAAATGGGAAAGGTGTCCCATAAATGTGGCTTTTAGGTGCTTATGTATTGTTTTGGTTGATGTTGACAAACATTGTCTTATTTTGAACTAGGTTATATGTTGTCAGGGTTATGTTGATTGCTTTTGAAAAACAATGGTGTAATTATAGTATCTAGTTTTAGCAATGTACATTGCTTTTGACAAACAATGTAATCTTTTGATTGCTTTTGGCATTGATTTTATTTTAGTCATCTATTTTGCTCATTTTATGGTGATTGCTCATTATTTGATTGCTCAGTTTTTGACAACAATGTAATCTTTTGATTGCTTTTAGCAATGTAGTTTTAGCAATGTCCCAAATATACTACACAATTTGTAAAATACAATCAAGTTCAACAAAATATCATTTTTATTGATAAAAGGGTATCCTTGATACAAATAAGATTCATTACAATTCATTGTAAACAACTGCAACTACATCAATTGATCTTAAAGCTAATACTACAACGTGTAAACAATTATCCCAAAAAACAAAAACCAACTTATTATTAACAATGCCTTCAGATTTTGATTTTTGACCTCAAGTTCTTGAATTTGAATTTCAAGCCGTTCATTTTTTATTTCCGCCCCATGGCCATGCTTTTCTTCATCTACCCACTTAATAAAGCCAGGCCTTGGTCCCTATACTATCAATAGCTTCGATTAGCACATACACATACTAGGGTTACAATAGAAAATGCCCCAAAACAATTACAACGTCATACCTCTAACAGGCAAGCATAAAATGCCCTACCTGGGGTTCTCTTCGTAGTTGAAGTCCGTATAATGCCTATCGTACCACAATTGCATTTCACCATGTTTGATCGGCTGTGAGAAGAAAGGTGGGAGGAAAAGACTGCGATTGAGAAAGAAATGAGGGAGGAATACAAATAAACCATGTTTAAACACTGGGTGATATGAAAAGACAAAAATACCCCCAACGTGCTTATCACGTGAAGAGTTTCTAACCACAAAACATACGGAATGTTAAGTGAGGGACCATGTGGGTTACGAATTTTACCATTAGGGATCATCCGAGTTAAAAATCTTGCTCAGGGACTAGGTATGTAGGTTACCCCAAACTACAGGGACCATTCGTGTAATTTACCCTTTATAATACTAGTCCATAAAATTAAAAAGAAAGAATGATTAATATATAACAATTCAATAAATTTAAAAAGAAGAATTGCAGAACTGGTCCTTGTAATTTGGTAAAAACAAAAAAGATAACTGCAAAAATGGTCCCTAAGGGTAAACTTATCATTTTGAAAAAGTTAACAGTCAAACGTTAAAGTTAACGAAATATGGACCAAAACCACACCTAAACCATCAAATAATGACCTTTTTGTTGATAAACGTTTTTTTGGACCTTACCCAAAGAAATTGGCAAACCACAGGGACCATTTTTGCAATTTACTCTTAAATAAACACGCCCCCAACCCCACTTCAACATCATCTTATCTTACATTACCTACCTCACTTTATTTAAATAAATTAAAAAATCAAGAACAAAATAGTCTTTTTATGTAAGATAGGGATCAAACACGCAACAAAAACAAACTATAAGGACCTTTCGACTTAAAATAAAACAAATTTGAGACCAAAGGTGCAAATTACCCAAAACCATAAGAGTCATTTGTGTAATTTACTTAAATGCTAATAAGCTAAAAAAGTGCTAGGGTTATTCAAAAACACTTTTCAAACAACTTCTTCGATAGAAAAAATAAAAGAGTTTCAAAAGGTTATAAAATCCTAGTTTTTTTAATGGTTTTTTAGCTTTTTAGCTTTTCCTACGACTTTTTATCTCTTAAAAGTTAAGCCAAACATTTTTTTTAAAATACATTTATTGACTTTTTAGCTTTTTCCACTATAAGTTAAACAAAACACTTTAATTTTTTTTTTTCAAAAAGATATAAGCCAATAAATATTTTTACCAAAACACTTATGAGATAAAAAAAGAACTCCCAAACACACCTTAACGAAAAACGCATCTATTGTCATCTATCAGTTTTTATGCATTTCGTATTATATAAATGAACAAATGCATAAAATTAAAAAATTATTACATAATTATATTAATTAGAAAGGTTACCCCTGGCCCCTGCTACGCGGGGGCCATAAACTTTCAATGTTGTTTCTGAATCGATAAATATGACAGACGTAGAAAGTGCAAGGATGAAAAATCCGACCTTTGCCCTGGACCGTTTTTTTCATATTTTTATAAAAAAAAAAATGTAAAAGATTTGACAGCAAGGACCAGAAGTGTCAAAATGGCTAAAGAATTAATAGGGTAGAATTAGCAACTTTTTAGAAAATGGATCAAAGTTGTCAAACCGTTAGAATTTTATAGCCAAACTTTAAATATTAAAAAGTTCCTAAAAAGTGTAAAAATATTGATTGTAAGGACCAAAAGTGTCAAAATTGATAAAGAATAAGGAGCAAAGTTGCCAAAAAAATCCAAATTTACTATTCCTAAATTTGAAACCCAACAATAGTATAGGGATCAATTCTGTCAAAAAAATAACAAGTTCACTATTCATTTTCTTGAGAATATATATATATATATATATATATATATATATATATATATATATATATATATATATATATATATATATATATATATATATATGAAAAAGTTATTTGAAAAACAAAAAAACCCTAAATATCATAAAAATGCTTAAAAAAATACCAAGACATCACAAAACTGTTTTTTTTTTTTTTTATCAAAAAGCACATAATTTATTACAATTTCGCTGAAAAAAAATCATTTTTTTTTGTAAAAAAAATTTCAAAATTTTTTTTCTGCTATTTTGATCTAAAAGTGGCGATTTTTTGATAAAAAAAATTCAAAAAAAAAAGTTTTGTTATCTCTAACTATTTTTTTATGCATTTTAATGATTTTTAGGATTTTTTATTTTTCATAGAATATATATATATATATATATATATATATATATATATATATATATATATATATATATATATATATATATATATATAATAATTTTTCTACGATGATAAGAAGTTATAATACATAATTTACTACATTAAATATACAATAATACAAACAATGTAATCAACGATTTTTTGTGTAAAATTTCGTTATATAATAATATTGTTTAAATGATTTTTTTATTTAATTATTTGATGGGTTGTATTATAAGTTCCATCATTTTTCACATTTAACCCTCCTAATATCAACCAAATCAAATTATTGACATTTGATTTGATATATATATATATATATATATATATATATATATATATATATATATATATATATATATATATATATATATTGTTTTTTTATTTTATTTTATTCATCATTTACTTCTAAAACCTTTTTTCTTTTTTGACACATTTGGAACTTTAATTGGCTTCATTTTCCTTTCCTTATCCACTATATTTACCACAAATATTTTGTTTGTCATCTTTCAAATTCAAAAGATTCATATATTAGAAAGAAGGTATAATTATAATTACACCTAATTATAGAAATATTATTATTATTATTGTTATTATTATTATTATTGATTTCATATATGTTTATCTTTATTTTTATCTTTATATTGAATAATAAAGAAGTTGATTTGACATAACTTTAACTTTATACATTCTATAAATGAACGATTCGTTTGATTCATTCGATTCACAAAATTATCGATCGTTCCTTCCGTCCTTATGGCAAGTTTTCACACAGACATGGTGTGTATTTTTGATAGATAATTTTAGTTTAATCGTAAATTGTTATATGTTATTTTTTAGTGGAATTCTTTTGAAGTGCCTAAATATATACTTATATTTGTTAGGTGTTTAGCAGTCGTGAAAACTTAACGGTGTGTGTGCAAGAAACGGCATAGTCTCTTGGATACATGGTTGTTATTAAAAGAACAAAGACAAAAGGACATGGATATGGATATATTTCAAAATTCATATTTATGTGTGATCGGGGTGATGTATCAAGAGGTCCGGAGACGTCCACCAAAAATATAGGGTCGAGAAAAACAAATTGTCCATTCGAAATTTTTGCTTGTTATTATAAGTCAGATGATGTTTGGAGGTTAATGTTTAAAAATGATGAACATTATTATGAACCAGCAATGTATACGGAGGGTCACCCATTAGCAATGAGGTTAACCCCAAATGAATCAAAAATGGTTAAATGAAGATAAACAATGTGCCTGCACGGGATATTCTATCGGCGTTGAAGAGACAAAATTCCAAAAATGTTTCTACTCTAAAAAAAATTTATAATAAGTGTTACAAACTTCAAATGGATGAACATGGAGATCGAAGTCAAATGCAAGTTGTCTTCGGATTTTTGCATTCAAAAAGATGTATATTTAATCATCCTGTAAATGATACAACCAATGCCTTGGAAGATCTATTCTTTGTTCACCCAACATCATTGGAAATATGGTGTGCATTTACATTGGATTATGATGATGGATGCCACATAAAAGACTAACAAGTACAAATATTTTTTTAATTGTTTTGTATTTATTAATAGGTGTAACATGCCTTATATATTTGTTATACTAATTATTTTTCTCTTATTAATAGGTATAACATGACTTTTTGTTCTTTTATTAATAGGTATAACATGACTTTTTTTGGAGATTGTTGGTGTTACTTCAACAAACACGACATTTTCCATTGGTTTTGGGATCATGGATAAGGAAAAGGAATCCAATTACATTTACGCTTTAAATTGACTAAAGGCAATAATCGACAGATATGATAGTCCATGTGTGATCGTCACTGATAGAGAGATAGCATTGATGAATGCATGTAAAAAAGTATTCTCATCGGCCATTCAGATACTTTGTAGATGACCTATATCTCAAAGTACATTTACTAATTGCAGAGGACATTTCATGATAGATGTTGAGTGGAATTTTTTTAAGAGATTGGGAAACTTTAATCAATTCATCAACAGTGACAACATATTTGAGAAATTATGCAAAACTAGAATATAAATTATTTTATATATTAATATATA